GGGGTGGGGTGGGGTGGGGCGGGGCGGGGCGGCCCGAGAGAAGGCTCCCTCACAGACACACACGAGAAGGGCCAGTCGGCCCCACAACCCACACAGCCGAAGGCCAGGCTGCGCTGCGCTGAGTGAAGAGGCACGCGGTGTGTGTGTGCGTGTCTGTCGCGGGTGGGGTGGGGTGGGGGTGTCACGGCACCAGCGCTGCCCAGGGTGGGGCTGCCCAGGGGCAAGGCCGGGAGAGAGCCCAGCTGGCTGTGCCAGACGGGACCGGCCTCGATGCCAGGAGAGGAGACGGAGGGAATCCAGCAAGACCCCCATCAGCCCAGGGCCCCTCCTCTCTGGGCCACGGAGCCAAGCCGGCAGCGGGCGACCAAAGGGTGGGAAGGGGCCGCCCCGCCCCCCCGGCCCAGAGGAGCCCCATACCTCGTGGTTGGAGAGCTCCCAGTAGGGCCGCTCCCCGCAGGACATCACCTCCCACATCACAATCCCGTAGCTCCAGACGTCGCTGGCGGAGGTGAACTTGCGGTGCGAGATGGCCTCGGGTGCCGTCCAGCGGATCGGGATCTTCCCACCCTGTGGGAGCCCAAGGCAGAGGACTCAGGAGGCCTCCCAGTGCCGCCGTGTCCCTTTCCCAGGGCTGGCCTGGCTGCCGCCACCCCCACCCCCCCACGAGAGAGAGAGAGAGAGGGGAGGGAGGGGGGGGGGGGGGGGGAGAGAAGAGAGAGAGAGAGAGAGAGAGCGCGTGCACGCACTGCCCACTGTGCGAAGTTACTGGGGCTCGTCCTGGGGGCAGGGGCAGGGTCCCCCAGGAGCTGTGCATCCCACGGCCAGCACGCACGGTGGGGACTCCTCCCTTCCTCTAGCCTCCTGCCCCATCCCAGCTTCCTTTGCCTGACTCTCGGGCCACAGGCTTGCAAGCGCAGAGAGAGCCCCCAGGACGCCCACCCCCCCAAGCAAAGTGCCAGAAAGACGGACCCAAACGCCACTCCGGCCAGCCCAAACGAGGAGCTGCCCCACCGTTAGCCAGACTCTTCCCAGAGGCGGAATACCCAGCGTCCCCCTCCCTGACGCTGCGCCCTTCCTGGCCTACCCGAGGGGCAGCAGGGCGTCACTCACGCTGGTGGTGTAGGTGGCGTCGCCGTCCTCCTCCAGCACCCGGGAGAGACCAAAGTCGGAGACTTTGCAGACCAGCTGGCTGTTGATAAGGATGTTGCGAGCAGCCAAGTCCCGGTGGACGTAGTTCATGCTGGCCAAGTACTTCATGCCCGCGGCAATGCCCCGCAACATGCCCACTAGCTGGATGACGCAGAACTCCCCATCCTTCTCCTGCGGACACAAGCCCAGGACACTCACAGCCCGGCTGCTCGGCGGCCTTCCTCAGAGGGCTTCAGGGTCGTCAGAGGCCAGGGCCTTGACCAAAGGGATTTGGGGAACTGGGGTGGCCAGAGGATGCCAACGCAGGCCCGGCCTCCCCTCCCCTCCCCCCCTCCCCCCCAGCGCTCCAGGACGAGAGGGGCGCACACTCACCCGCAGGAATCGATCCAGTGCGCCATTCTCCATGTATTCCGTGATGATCATGACAGGCTTGGCTGGACAAAGAGGAGGGGGGGGGGAGAGCAGTGACGCCCCGCTGGCCAGCGAGCCACCACAGCGGCAGGCAGGCAGGCAGGCAGGCAGGCAGGCAGGCAGGCGGGGCGGCTCAGCCCGGGACACCCCCTCCCGCTTCCTGGAGAAGGGGGGGGGGCTTACATTTGGAGACCACACCCTCCAGGCGGATGATGTTGGGGTGGCCGAACTGGCCCATGATGCCGGCCTCGCTCAGGAAGTCGACGCGCTGCTTCTCCGTGTAGCCCGACTTCAGCGTCTTGATGGCCACCGGCAGATCCTCCTTGCCGTGTTTCAGCCTCCCCTTGTAGACCTCCCCAAATTCACCTGACGGGAGGAAAGGGAAAGCGGTGGGG